GGCTGGGAATGGTGACACCTGTGAGCCCTCAACCCCACAGATGGACACTTGGCTGGCTGGGACACCACAGGGAGACCACAGCTAGCAGGGCAGGGCCCGGGTGATTATGGGACAGAGAGGCTGGCTCCTCATGGATGGCCCTGCATTTGTGCTGTTGCAGCTGTGCCCTGTGATCCAGCAAGCCTTTGATGACATGTATGCTGACTTCCTGAGTCTGACAACAGGTGAGTACCCTGCTCTCTCCACTCACCTTTCCCCTAACTGCAAGTTCAGCCTCCAGAGCCCACCTTCACCCAGAGGAGACCTCCCCAGTCTGGCCTGAGGAGCAACTTTGGCCCAGCACAGGTGGTCAGGCACCTACTGGCCCCTGCCCAGGACAGGCAGTTCACCACAACAGCAACTCATGAGCACATTATATGTGCAAGGCTCTATATGGGGCCAGCAGATACCCAAGTGGACCCAAGTCCAAATCCCAGCTCTGCTGCTCACGTGCTCCATGACTTTGGGGAAGTCACTCCACATCTTTATCCTGTTTCCTCATCTATAAAATGAGGCTTTCTAGAGCCCCTGTGGTTTCTCCCTGCGCTTCAGCTACTGCCCTCCCTGGACCCTCTGTGTGGAATACCAGCTTCAGGGATCCAGCCTGGAGCAAGGGACGAGAATCCCTTCCTCACCCAGTGCTAGTCCTTTGGCACTGCCTGTGCAGTGAAATATCACCAATGTGAGTGTGTGATTGAAGCTTCTCGGTTAGACTAAAGTCTCCAGGCTGCCAGGAGCCTGGTCCTGTAAGGTCCTTCCTGGTGAGAGGGGAGAGAGCGACTCACACCTGTTCTCCACTCCAGAGATCAAGCTCCACTCCAGAGGCAGTAAGCACCCAGCAAGCTACAGGTGGTGCATGGACCCACTTCTTCACTGATCTCTTTGATGTTTGGCTGTAGTTCACAAGCCACTTTAGGAAGCTGGAGAGGCAGGAAGGGAGGCAGGTCAGCTGCATTGGTCACACTGCAGTAACAGAACTCTAAGAGTGCATTGACACTCATGCTTAGAAGGAAAGAGGGCCCTGATCAGTGATGTGTGCCATAGGGTACGGTCACTATCCCTGGGTTCCTTGGTATCCAAGATGCCCTCCAGCTCCCCAGGACTATTTGGAAGAAGAAGCAGGTGCATCCAATTCCCAAGGGCAGAACCAGGGCCCAATTTGGATATTAAGAGAGGCCTTTGTCTCTGAAGATGAATGTCAGAGGCAGGGTCTCTCTGAAAAGAAGGCAGAGAACTGATCATTACTGGGAATTCCAGTCTTGGGTCTCCGTCGAGGGAGCAGATGACTCAGAGGTGAATCCATCCTCTGCCCCACAGTGAGGCTTACCACAAAATCCAGCAGGACCAGGAGTTCCTCCTCAATGTAAGCACTGACAGACTATCTCTAAGGGATCAGAGGTCAGAACGGGCCATTCTGAAAAGGACACTTACTGCCCAGGAGTAGCTATCCACAGGAAATCCCAGGGTGGCTGGCGGCCTCCTTGTTACCCTCCGGTGTCCGACCTGGAGGCGCCTATCTTCGCAGAGCACCTGCTGTATGCAGATACATCTGGGTACACCAATCCCATACAAATCTGAGCTCACTATCTATTAAAGAACAAAACCCTTCTGTTGATGCTGGACAGCCCTTCCCCTCTTGACCTCAGTTTCCCCAGTCCTCAGACAGAAACAGAGAGCTCAGTCAGACTGAATCCTGTCTTCAGCCATGGATTGTCTTTAGAGACACAGTCTTGCTATATAGCTCTGACTAGCGTGGAACTCACTATGTACACTAGACTGGCCTTCAACTTGTGCCACCCCCCCTGCCCTTGCCTTCTGATTGCTAGGATTACAGGTGTGTGCCACCACACTGAGCCCTTCTTTGGTTTCTATAGGTTCTTCTTTTTTTTTAATCAATATTTTCATACAAGGCTTGTAGAAATTAGGACAGCTGGCCTCTCTTTATAAGCAGAGCTCCCTCAGGATACTTCTGGCTGGAGCAGAGCCCCTGAGGGTAGGGCATCCTCAGTGACCACATCCCAAAGCAGCTGAGTGGAGGCCTCTCCACAGTCTATCTGGTCCCCAGGACTTTGGCAGCTTGGGCCTTCAGGGGACCTGAGATGCCAACAGCTCTGCTGGCTGCCCTGATTGTGGGGACAAGCCAGGCAACCTGGAATGACCAGGAGGACCTGGCAGTGAACTGAGTGACAGTGCCCCTTCCCCCTCACAGGCTGAAACTCTTCAGGGCACCATGACCAAGATCCTTGTCTCAGCTCTGCTGCCAGAGAACAATTAGTCCCTCAGCTCCTGGGGCCCTCTTGTAGGCTTGCTCTACCTCCTGCCCACGCTTTCTCCTGAGGCCCCCTTTTAACTCATGATCCAACCATCCTCTGAGCCTAGTTCAAAGTCCATCTGCTCCGGGGAGCCTTCCTTGCCACCAACTAGAGAAGACTCTTCCCTGGCCCTTTACAAGTTCTGATTCCAAGGCTGGCAAGGATGAACTGACCACTGCTGGAATCAGGTGCAAGTGAACAGCTAGAGTTCACTTGAGGGGCCCAAGGCAGACTGAGTTCAAGACTGATGCCACTCTTTCTGGCTTCCTGACCTTGGACAGGCTGCCTTATTCTTCTGAGCCTCAGATTCTCCATCTGTAAAATGGGAGAAATAAGAGTACCTTCCTCAGAAGTGCAAATGAGATTATGTGTGAGGGTGGGAGAGCTGGTACCCTGTAGCATCTTCACATTTTAAATTCACTTTACTGGAGACTTCTGCTGTGGATGATGGGAGCCATGATGGTTCTTGACCAAGAGTGTGAGAAGGACGTAGAGTGCATTGTGGGACAGCCAGAAGCCCCACCAGAGACAAAGGGTGACTAGATAGGGCTGGGTGGATGCCGAGGTAGAGGACGGGCAAACAGAACAGGGGGACAGACCAGATCCCAAGTGCCAGATCCCGGACTCTCATCCACACAGAACTGTGAGCATGCCCACTGCTTCCCAAGCCCATCTTGGCCCACCAGACTCTGACCATGTTTGTTATTTCAGGCAAACTGAGAACTGCAATCCTCTTGTCAACAGCAAAGGCCTTGGGATATGAGAATTCTGTATGATCTGTGATGGAGGTGAGTGTCCTGTGGACATGAGCATCCTGTTCAGCCTAGGAATGGCCTATGCTCCACTCCTAGCCCTGTGGTCACTTGTGGGGGAGTTTTGGCATGTGTAAGTGAGGGATCAGTGCACTTTTCCACTGTACTTGTCACTATTCATTCATTCACTCACTCATTGATTCAGTAAATATTCTTTGAAGGCCTACTATGTGCTGGGCATGGCTCCTAATGCTTCCAGCTACAGAAGTGAACAAATAGCAGGGAGTGACACCCCCTGGCAGAGCCTGCATGCTAGCAGGCAGGGCATCTACATAAACCAGGATCACACACATCAAGTAGACAAGGGCTGGGGATAAAAGAAGATGGGCTCAGAAGAGAGACAGATGGTCGAGTGGGGATGCTGTTTTAGACAGGGTGGACAGGGAAGTCCTCTCTGGAGAGGTAAGGTTTGGCTGACACCTGAGGAAGCGGGGCAGTGAGCTCTGTGGGTCATGGGAGAAATGTCCTCTAAGAAGGACCAGCAAGTGCAAAGGGGTGTTACTGCTCCGGGAAAGACGAGGACGAAGGCCCTGGATCCCAGGTGGTGTCCAAGCTCTATAGACCTGACTACACACACACACACACACACACACACACACACACACACACACACACACACAACTGTGTGACCAAGTGGCTCAGATTGATGAGGACCAGAGTCATATCTGAGTTGTCCATGCAGCTGTCCTCAGTGTGATCAGCAAGGTCTGGTACAAATAGATGTTTGATGAACACTCGGTAACCAAGTGACAATCCCTGGCCTCTGCTGGGTATTAGGCCACCTGACCCCCAGTGTCAACCCTAACAACAATGTACACACTCACTATGTGGTAGCTCATCTTCACACCTAGTCCTGGTATAACCTCCCTTTTACAGATGGGGAAAATGAGGCTCAATGACAGCAAGACCTTTTCTAATAACATACACACACACTGGTGGCAGAGGTGGGATTTACACTTGACACCTGTCCTTGATAACCTGTCATGATCCCAACTTCTATAACAGCCAGTCAGTGAAGTGCCCATCTTGGTCAGACAGCCCACAGCCATTTATTATTAACAGTAAAGAAAGCCCACAGGTGATTGCCTACTACCCTTCTGTGATCAGGTTCAGTCCAGCTCTATAAAGGAACTTTGAGTCAAGCCTACTCCTACAAGTCCTGATGTGCCTCCAAGCTGCCCACAGGACCTCTGAGTTTCTGAGCTGTGCTGGAGAAATCCACAGATTTAAATTCATTTTTTTCACTTATTTGAAAACTTCTTGTTTTGCTCTATGGTTTCTCTGTAGTCAGCAGCACATTAATTCCTTTCTATAACTGTATGACATCATGCATTTAAATCCAGTGGGAAGAATGAGTAAAAGGATGGACATGAGCTAAGTTGGTATGTGAAAGAAGAGGCAATTGCAGAACCCCAGTAACAACGGGCAGGAGCTCACTGTACACTTCCTTTGCTAAATACTGAGATAATAATATAATTCTTGGGGTTAGGACGGGGCAATTTTCCTATATTGCACTAAGTTGTTTTATTTAACACAGATCTTGTTTTTAAAACTCAAGTTTCCAGGTCCCCCTCCAGACAGCCAGGAATCTCTCTAATAAATGTGGAGATTCTGCAGTGGGCTTGGGGGACAACCATCCTACACAATCCAGCCACTGCACACATGCACTTTACCCGAAACACAGAATGGTGGAAAAAGCTACTGTTCACACACAAACCCACTACATGCTTAGAACTCTGCATGCATGTGTTCAGCATCATGGGACCCCAAGGCTTACCTTGTGGAGGACAACCAGCACAAACCATAAAACAGCAAGAGGAAACAAAAAGTCACCAGAGGCCTCCTGGCGCTCACCACAAGCTGTGTTCTTGCACTGACTATATAGAAAGAAAAGGCAGAGCAAACCCACGCGCATGTACACCTCAGCCCAGGCCACTGTGCCTGGTCTGTATTGTGAATGGGAAGATGGATTTGAAAAAAAAAAAAGAAGGGAGGGAGGGAGGAGGAAGGGAGGTCAAGTCAATCACTAGTTTGACTCTTTCAATCCCAGGGCCCCCACAAGCCTCCTCCTAGAATCCCACCTCCCCTTTCCTGGTGAAGACATGGACAGCTGGTCAGCATATGCTGAGTACTAGCTGGGAATGTAGGGGCGAGCTCTATAGACTGTCCCCCTGGAATCAGTAAACATTTGCCAGTGGCTCCTGCAGAGTTTTTCTTTGTCCAACGTGGGAGGTGTTCTGCCCTGGGCAGGCCTGGGGTATGGATGAGACATTGGGTGGAGTTAAGGCACCTCTGAGCCAACTTGGGCAACATCTTTGCCTTGTAGGAGCCATAGGACAGTGTCCATGGTTAGGACTGCCTCCCTTTCAGATGGGCTTTGGGTGGAGAACACCCATTTTGTTGATCTTGTTGGCATGGTGGGTCGTGGGCTTTCTAAGTCACATGGCCCTGGAGACACAGGAACAGGCTTTGCATTCTGCCTCACCACTCAGTGCCTCCATCCTGAAATGTGGTTTCCCCTCAATGGGCCTCTGTCCTCTGTCAAGTAGGGAGAATTGTGGTTCTTACCTTGGAGGGCTGGGGTGAAGATTAAATGAGGCACCTGGTGGGTGTTCAGACAGTGTCATCATGAGTGATGTCATGGGCACTTGTTATCTGACTTCAGGAAACATCTTACCACCAAGGACCTTCCCATTCAGACTTGCATGGCTGCCATTGTCTCCCTGGCTTTCCTGAAGCCCCGAGGTTCTGGGAGCAGACAATAGGTCTCTGTTCTTTAGGCCTGGGTTGTGCCCCACACCCAACCAAAGCCTTCAGTCACACAAGAGCCCTTACAGGAAGTCGGGTTGCTGTCTGGGAAAGAACAGTACTCGGTGTCAGAGTACAATCCCTATGGTACTTCCTGATGAGGAAGTCTCTTCTAGCCCAGATGACTGCCAGATGTGAGAAGCTGCACGTCTGTAGCCAAGCAGGGCACAAGGACCCTATCCCAACATAGTCATGGCTGAGGCTCCCCAGGTCCAAACCACTCTCACCTCTGCTTCCTGGGGTGGTATCTGGAGAACCCTAGGTTCCTCACTCCTTGGGCAAAGGAGCAGCTCTGAGACCAGGGTTCTCCAGTGACTTCCTAAGTTCTTAGAAGGAAGAAGCATAGGTACCCACAGCACCCTTCTGCTGATCCAACCCTACTCCCTGCTGTGTGTGATCAATGGCACTCACCTGCTTCTGGAGACAGCAAACCAAGACCATTTGCCCCATGTATGTAAGTGCACCCATGTCATGCAATGCCTGCAGAGGCTAGAAGAGGGTGTTAGATCCCCTGGATCTGGAGTTCTAATGGTTGTTAGCCACCATGTGGGTGCTGGGAACTGAACCCTGGACTTCTACAAGAGCAACCAGAGCTTTTAATCATTGAGCCATCTCTTCAGCCCTTTACTTTGTTTTTTGAAACAGTCTCACTCTGTCTCCCAAGCTGACCTGGAACTCATTATGTACCCTAGGGTGGCCTACAGCTCATGGTGATCCTCCTGCCTCAGCCTCCCAGGTGATGGGATTACAGGTGTATGTAAGGATGCAATGTTAGAATCCAGCTGCTGTTCAGACCGCCATACCTATGGTAGCCCTTCCTGGCTCACAGATACTGACAGCACCCCACTGAGACACTGCCTGTGAATCCTTAGTTAACAGGCTTCCAGGTGTCAAGGTTTCTCACCTGGGAAAGTGAGTTCACATCAAAAGGATATTGGTGACCATACATCCTGCCCCACCCTCTCTCCTGCCTCCTGCCTGGGAATCAGAAAACCTGGTTGGAGGCTGATACTGTGAATCTATCCCCATCCTCAGAAAGATATAAGAAGAGACCCTTCCCCCACTTCTGCCATGTGGGCCCTGATTTCTTCTCTTCAGTGCCCCCACCATGTTGTCTGTCTCTGGTGCTGGGGCCTGAACTCTCCTCAGACCCTCCATCATGCCTTCTGTCTGTCTGTCCATGGTGCTAATAACTCTTCTAATAAACCCCCAACAGTCAGTGTCCCCTTGAACTCCACATCCAAAATCTTTTGAGTATGAGCCACCACATTTGGCTCCCCACCAACACTTAAAGCATCTTTGAACCCAAAGTAACTGTGATGCACAGATTCTAGAATAAGAATATCTTTTTTAGCCAGGGGTAGTGGCACATGCCTTTAATCCTGGCACTTGGGAGGCAGAGGCAGGTGGATCTCTGTGAGTTCAAGGCCAGCCTGGTCTACACAGTGAGTTCCAGGACAGCTGGGGCTACAGGGAGACCCTGTCTTAAAAAGACATATATATATACATTTTAAAAAAAATATTTTTTATGGGGGCTGGAGAGATGGCTCAGCGATTAAGAGCACTGGTTGTTCTTGCAGAAGACCCAGGTTCAAATCCCAGCACCTACATGGTATCTTTATTTATTTTTTATTTATTTTTTTTATGTGTTTGAGTGTATTGCCTGCAAGTATGTAAGTGTACCCATGTTGTGCAGTGCCCATGGAGGTCAGAAGACGGCATCAGGTCCCCTGGAACTGGATTTACAGATGCCTTTTAGCCACCATGTGGGTGCAGGAATTTGAACCCCAGCCCTCTACAAGAGCAGCCAGTGCACTTGACCACTGAGTCATCTCTCCAGCCCCTAGAATGACAGTATTTTCTCTATCTAGGTGCAGTGACACCCATCTATAATCCCAGCTACTCAGGAGGCTGAAGCAGGAGAATTGCTAGTCGGAAACCAGTGGGGCTACATAGCAAGACCATGTTTCTTCACCCCTTTGGGTTCCATGCCTAAGACATCCTTTTTAGCAGCGTTTGTACCCCTCCCAAGAGCTGGAGGTGTCAAAAAGGGAAAGGGCCGGGCCCAACCCACTTCCTCCCTGGGGTCCACTGGCCACTTCCTGAGACTGCCCCGCCTCAGTACTGGCCCCACCAGTTTTGGCCGAAAGCCCCTGACTGCCATGCCAAGATGAGCGCTTCTTTGAAGAACTGAGCGCCAAGCCCTGGCCAGGGGCCCCAACTACCTGCCCACCCACCCGCCCCTCACTTCAGAGCTCAGGTTATAAGAATTGTCCTTTTGGAAAGCTAGAGACACAAGCCTGAGAGATTCTGGACTGTCCTGTACTGAGAGAGGTAAGGGAGGGCAAGGAGGACAGACCTGGCATCTCCAAACATCTCTTGAGCACCTGCCATCATGTGGTGAAGCAGGGCAGAGATTCTTAGCACTCAGCCAGTCTGTGCTCTACCCCAGCTCTACCACTTACTATCGTTGTGAGCAAACGAGGCCCACAGAGTAAGCCTGTTAGGACATGAAGAGATGGATCCAGAGGGACAGAGCTGGGGGCACAGGGCTGTGGGTCCCTGAGAAGGACACAAGCTTCACTTCCATGGCCACAGGTCCTGACGGGAGAATGCTGCTGTTCTGGACGTTGCTGATCTGTTGGGGGCTGCTGCCCCAAGCCCAAGGGAAGACCCACAGCCCACTCCTCCTGCGGGTCAGTCAGAGCCAGCTGGAAGCAGGTGAATCTCAAGGGATGAGCTGCAAGAGGCATGACCCTGGGGATGGTAGAAAAGCAGAACCCTGGGGAAGGAGGAGAGGCTGGACCCTGGGGAAGGAGGAGAGGCTGGATCCTAGGAAGGAGGAGAAGCAGGACCCTGGGTAAGGCAGAAAAGCAGGACCCTGGGGAAGGAGGAGAGGCTGGATCCTAGGAAGGAGGAGAAGCAGGACCCTGGGTAAGGCAGAAAAGCAGGACCCTGGGGAAGGAGGAGAGGCTGGACCCTGGAGAAGGTGGAGCTGGACAGCTGAGATCCCAGTTCTGGCTTCTCCTCCTCTGACCTCCCACTAACCAGCACCAGGGCTCCCCTTGTCCCTCCTCTGTCCTAACACTTGCAGTGGCTTCCCAGTTACCCTGAGCATCTCCTCACCCTGACATTCAAAGCTCTGCATCTCCAGTATCTTCCCACCACCTTCCCTGCCCACTCCATAGAGTTCACCGCTGCCTCCTTTGCCAATGCAAGTCTTTCTGCCTTTCTCTCCTCAATGTGGTGAACTCTGACTGAGCCTGGGAAACAAAGTCCTAGCCAGCCCTCCTCATGAAGTCTCCCCTGATCTCCTCGTGGCAAGTCTCCATCCTCTGGGCTCCCACAGCTGTCTACTGGAGCCTCTTCAATGACCTTGTCTGAACACAGCACCTGCTATCTGGCCATCCGCCTGTCTGCTGTTCTCCCTGCCTCTTGCCTGCGAGCAGCTTGTCCCAGCCTGTCTCTGTTTTGCAAACTCACCATGCTCATAACCTTAGGACCTTTGCCTCTGCCTACATTGCTCTTCCCATAACGGATTTCCTCACGTCCTTCAGGTGTCCATTCGAGGCCTCCTCCTCAGAGCGGCCCTCCCTGACCACTGTGTCTGAAACAGGCCCTCCTCACCCCAGTTATGCTCTGACTCTGCTCCGTTTTATTTCCTTTGTAACATCACTTCCAAAAATTACTTTGTTTGCTGATCTGAGTGCTAGCTTGTCTTTCTTCCCAACTCACACTTCAATCCCAGAGTATGGGGAGCCATGCTGCTCCCTGAACCTAGCAGAGTAAGACTTAATGAATATTTGTGGGCTGAGCTTGGTGGCAAGGTGAGAGACTGAACCAGGAGCCGCTTGAGCCAGGAGTTTGAGACCAACCTGGGCAACATAGTGAGACACGAGGCTTAGTCTCCTAATAAGTACTTGTGGCTGAATGACTGTCTTAATGGCAGCTAGGAGCAGGTACCTGCAGGTGTTGGTTGAATGACTGAATGAGCACAGGAGTTGCTGTGTCCTCAGACATTTCAGATCTATTTTCGGAGCATGAAATTCTGAACCATGTGATCAGAATGCCCGTTGGGGGAGCCTCAAGCGAGAGTGTGTCTGTCCTGGATGACTTGCCCTTCGTCAGAGAGCACCTCGTCAAGAAGAGAAGAGGGCTGGACCTATCAGTGGTTGGGGATCTGCTCTCTGGGGAGACTGTGCCAGAGCTGAGGGAGCTGCTGGAGACAGGCGGGTGAGTGGCCAGTGAGGGTATCTCTGCCTTGTTTCTTCCTCAGGGACCTGCCCTGTCAGGTGGAGAAGAGGTAGGCAGGCAGCATGGGGTCTACAGCATCCCCCAGCCTTGAATTCATGAAGTGGGTGTCCCCCTACCATGCCACTACCTCTCCAGGCCTCTCCAAATCTTCCCAGGAAGGGTCTAAATCAGGGTCAGCAATGCACTTCTTTAAACTTGCAGTTTCCAAACTTGAACAGTGTTTTCAAAATATTTTCAATTAACCGCTCACACTTGAAAATCCAGGTTTCCCAATTGTATGAGTTTGGCAGGATGGCTGCACCAAGGTGCCCAGAGCCCAGCAGCCTCCCTGCTGAGTCTGGATGTTGGGGAAGGTGTCTGCACCTTCTCCCATCTGGAAGCAAGGCTCTGCCCTCACTCCTCACATTCACTCACAATCTCTGGTGCTGGTGCCAGAAGCCTGACACTATCCTCTGCCTTTACCTCACAGGGCACCCTCCCTGCATCCAAATCCCTTTCTGTAAGGACACAGCCATGTTGGACTAGGACCTGTGCTACTCAAGTATGACCTCACCCTAATCATGTGTACAGCCAGCATCTTTCCAAATAAGTCATGTGCTGGGTTTCTGGGACTTCAGCATATGTGCTGGGAGGCAGGGGCACAATGCAACCCATAATACTGAATGCCTTTAAAGTGAAAATCTGCCTACACCTGGCCTGACCGCCCACATGACTATCATTGGTGTCAATGTCCATAGCCCCCAGGCAGTCCCAAGCTGCTTCTGCCCCTGACACTGTCTGCTTGGCCCTAGCAGTACAAGAATCTGCAATGAAAGATACTGATTTCAGTTTGGACAGTATCCTTCAAGGTGACCTGTGTAGCCACAGGCTCAGCCTCGAACATATCAGTCTCTCCCCAACATGAGCAAGGAAAGTCCCATGGGTCCTAAGAATACAGACTCCAGAAGAAATTTTCTGATGGGGTGAAATGGGGTGAAAAGCCAAGGAACTAGGATGCAGGGGGAACTTCCCAGAGAAGTTTGGGAGGCAGTATAGGCCCACACCAGCCCAGCCATGCCAAGTGTTAGTACTAGGCACCAATCTCCCCCATCAGGCAGTCATGCCACAGCTGTAAGCCTATCCTAGTCCGGGGCATAGTTTGGAAGAACAAAAGGAAAGCACCAGAGAGGCCCGTACTTCAAACATCCTCCAGGCTGGGCTTGGAGGCATACACCGGAACTCCCAGCACTGGGGAAATAGAGACAGATCAGAAATTCAAGTCCATCCTCAGCTACATTGAGAGTTTGAGGCCAATCCAAACTATATGAAACCCTGTCTCAAAACAAACAAACACACAAAAATCCCTTCTAGAAGGTTCCCTGCTGGAAGCCAGTTTTTCTCTAGTAGAAGGGAATTTATTGCTGCCTGTCTCAGTGACTACAAATGAACCACTAGCTTACATTGATGTTCACAGTGTAACCTCAGCTCCTCTGAGCTCAGGGAAAAGAGGGGACTGAGGCCTTGGAAAGGACCACAAGGCCCAAGGATGCCCAGCAGCCTGTGGGTTCTTCATGGATGTCACAGGGACTACCAGGCCTCTGACTCCCTCATACTCTTGCCTAATGGCTTTTCTGATCCCCTAGTTCTGGAGATCAAACCCAGGGCCCCATGAGTGCTTGGCAAACACTGTACCATGGAGCCACAGCCTCAGCTCAAGAGGCATATGCTTGAATTCAGATGGTTAATTATGCACAGACTTGTGCTGTAGACCCTGATTTGTTAGAGGCTGACCCAAGGACCCAGAGAGGGGTAGGGACTATCCTTCAGGGCTTAAAGACTGGAACCAGAGCTCTGTGGCATACAACTGGGCTGTGGCCAGGGGACAGACTGTCCCCGAGCTGCCTCCACCTCTCCTGGGGTAGGTTCTCATTCTAACTACTCCAGATACGCACAGAGACACTGAAGCCTTGCCTGCCCAGATACTTCACCCCATGCCTCCCATAGGTTGGTCATAGAAGATGCCAAGGGACCTGAGGTCACCCTGCAAATTCTAAGTGACAGTTTGCTACAGGTCACACTGCGCTGCAAACTGTACCTCTCACTCCTGGAGTAAGTAGCCATGACATTTCTTCACCACACACTGCCAGGAGGTAAGAGACACCGGCCGGACTAACAAAAGTCATATGTTGCCACAAAGATCACAGCAATCCTTTCCGTTTGGGCATTGTTCAAAGACTCTTGACTGATGGGGAAACTGAGGCATAGAATGGGAAAGAGCCCTGGCCAGGATCACACAGTGAGTCTGAAACAAGGACTCTCTTCCATGATGGGAGGCAGCCATGTGGTCTGTGCATGTAGGCAGGTAGGCTCTAATGGGACAGCCTGGGAGGGCTGGGACCCTGGGCTGGGCAGCTAAAGCAGAAGTGTTCATTACCTAAGCCTCATTCTGTAACTGGATATAGTCCAGCTCCCTATTGCACTAGACCAGGTGTCTGCCTGCACACCTTGAGCTGTGTGTGGTTGTACATATGGCTGCCCGCATAGGCAATGCTATGGACCCACATTGGCAAATGAAGCAGGGTGGCTTGTAACACCCTTTGGGAATGCGCCTGTACTGCCTCTCTTGTGTCGTATGACTTTCTTGATGTAGCTTCACCAATTAATAGAGATGTGAGCATTCTAGGGCCATTTCAGCTGGAATGGGTCCAATCTGATTGATGTCCAAAGCTAAGGAAGATGAGGCCTGGATAGCTCTTAGATGGGAGATGTGGGCCCAAGGAAGTACTCTGTGATGGTCAGGGCTCTGACGAACATACCATTGCTTTGGTTGGGATAGTGTAGTAATGCTAAAACATGACCTCTGGCCCACTGGGTCCTGTAGCAAGCTGAAGAGCATGTGGTCCATCTCAGGGTTGCCCTCAGACAGGTATTGTCCCTACAGGATTGTGTGGCTCAGAGTCATCAAGAACATACGCATCGGAGTACGGCTAGAACAGATAGGCAACAAAACGCAGGTGGCCCTCGAGGAGTGCCATACCCCACCTGGAAGCCTGAGCATTGAGATCCTGAAGCCGTGAGTTCCTGTTGCATCTAAGCCTCGCCTGGGTGGAGTGGGTGGCAGGCCGTCCTGCACCGGTCCTTCTTTGAAACCCAGGGCTGGGACGGCTGCTCCTTCAAGGCTACACACTGCATATGCCACCTGCCAGTGGGGCCCTGGACAAGTATCAGCTGCTAGGAGCCTCAGTTTCCTCACTCAGTACCCATCCCACATGGGGTGATCCTGGGGAAGAGATGAGATAACCCATGTTGATCACATAGCACAGAACCTGCCAATCAAGGGGGCCACTATGGATCATCCTTCTGTTTGTCCAGCCCCAAACCAGGAAGCCAGTAATGATCTCCATTGTCAGTGGGGCCTCTTCCTGCTTAAAAAATTCAAAAGAGAGAGAGAGAACAAATCAGAAAGAAATGCAGAAAGTCATAGAAAGTACAGAAAGGGGGAACAAATAGAGCTGGAAAGGCAGGAAGGGGGGGGTGATGCCAGCAAAGAGGGAGGCAGCCACTCCAGTTTTATGTTGTCCTGCTCAGAGGGATCTTCCTTATCGATGCCCAGCTTCCCCTTCCCTGCCCCAGACTTCTGTGCATGGCATGTTAGATCGTACCCATCACCCCTCCCCTAGGACAGACTCCCTGCTGGTGAACAAACTGCTGAAATTGGTGGCAGGCACCCTGGACAAATCACTACCCTTTCTCCTCCAGAAGATAGTGAGTCATGAGGGGGACAGGTGCGGACCCAGGGAAAGGGTCTCTCCACTTCAGCCCCATGCCAGCTGGGACCCCTCCTGCCTTCTCTCTAGGTGTGCCCCGTGGCCACAAGCCTGCTCAACTCACTGCTGGAAGACCTGCTGCACATCACTGTCCGTATGTTGCTGCTGGTCAGCTGTCTCCTGCCATATGCCTCTAGGAATGAGCCCAGGGACAAGGAGGCTACTTTCTAATGGGGAAAAAGGGGGCAATATAGCTTGTGACTCTAAAATGTCTTTTCCCTTCTGAGCCTCAGATTCCTTATCTGTTAAGCAGGACTGATGAAAGGCCCATGGAGAGGGCCTGTTAGGACAATATTAAACCTGGTAAAAGCATTCACGTAATAAATAGTACTTGTTCCAGAAGGCAGACACCCAACTGCCGAGGAACTTCAGGCTGAGCAGAGAAGGAGGAGGAGCTTCCCTGCCTCCCCACAGCCTCCTTTCCTCCTCTGCCTCTGGTTGAGCTGGTTTTCATTTCTGCATTGTAGCCCCAATCATCTCGGGTCCTGATGACTTCCAGTACTATGTGACAAATACAGAGTTCACAGAGGAGGCCATCCTGATGAGAGTGCAGGTAAGCCCACCTCTGACTGCCATAGGCCCTGGGGGATCTGCTGGGGGGAGGACAGGCAAAGAGGAAGGGACATGGGGCTTCTTGAAGTGGGAGTTTCCAGAAAGAAAGGAGCAAATGAAGGAGGTGGTCAGCAAAAGAGGAGAGAGAGAACGGGAAGCCATGGAGGTCAAGCCCAGCAGGAGAGCAGCTGGGTCAGCTCAGAATCTACAGGACATGCAGTACCCCAGCTGCAATGGAGCTCCCAGATGGAGAAACTGAGGGCAGAGAGGGGCTGTGGCTAGCTAGATCTGCCCAACTCCTGTCCACTGCTCCTTGCTGTCTCCCTGCAAATGGCAAGACATAGGAGGGGCAGGCAGGGTTCAGAAAGGACAACGCTCAGACACTCAAGGGGGACCCAATGGAGACAACAAGGAGGTCAGGCTTCTGGGTTCAAAGCCCAACTCCACCTCCTATCTCATGGGATTTTGAGTGGACAACATCAGCTCTCTGGGCCTCAGTCTCCTCTTTGACAGATGGTGGTCATAACGGCTCCATCTATTGGTGCTGCTGGGTGATTCAGATGTGGTTATGCCTGTCAACATCGTAAGCTGTGACTAGATATCCACCAGGGGAGCTGTTCCTGCTGAATTTCTTCCCTCTATCCTTTCCCTGAAGCTTGTGACTCCCTGCCACCCAGGACAGCTGGCTCCAAGGCCAGAGCATGTGATTCCTCCACCCCTTCCAGGATTAGCCCAGGACAGCATGGCAGACATGGCCTTTTGGCTAGAGGTCTACAATGACATCCTGTCTTGCCTCTACTCAAGTCAGGAGGTTCACCTGGACCTGCAAGACTCCACAGTGAGTGCTGGAGGGAGGGGAGTGGGAAAGGACAAGAGGTTCCTGTTCTGCTTCTCACATGAGGAAACCAAGGCCAGGTAGCTGAAGTCATTTTCCCTCTCTGGACTTGGGCAGCCTCACCTGACTAGCTTGTATTTACCCTTCAGAATCCAACATACAAACCCCATCACCTGAGAAGAGTAACACACTCACATTCTTCATAACAAGTGCCCATTCGGTTATGAAAGTCTGCTGTGGGTCAGGTCCTATGCACATAGGGTACCTGCCATGTAGAGCTCAGAGCCTGGTAGGGAAATAGAACATGGAACTAGAAAATGGTCTGACACATGAAAGTTTGGAGAGGGAAGGGTTCAAGAGGACACTGAGATGGGTTGCTGGAAATAAAGAATTTATTAGAAGTTATTAATGCCATGGACAGACAGAGGCAACAGTAGGGTGGAGGGTTCTGAGACGAGTTCAGTCCCCAGTACCAGAGACAGGCAGCACGGTGGGGTCTCTGAAGACAGGAAGCAGAGCCCCTGTGGCAGAAGTGGGATCTGTTCTTATAGCTTTCTGAGGATGGGGAGGTTTTACAGTACATCCTGCAGCCAGACTCTCTGATTCCTAGAAGGGAGGCAGGAAAAGGGGATGGGGAATAGGATGTGTGACCTTCCAGGTGACAGGTCCTGGCCCTGGGATGTCTGTTACCTAGGGACTCACACAGTGTCTCTGGTGGGGTGCCTGTCAGTATCTGGGAGAGGGGAAGGGCTGCTGCAGGTATTGTGGCCTGAGCAGAGGCTGGATTCTAACATTACATTCTTAATAAATAACTGACTGGCTTTTCTTAAAGCAAGTAGGGCAATCAGAGGACCATCTGGATGCTGCAGCTAGGGAAGGCATGTCTGAGAGTGGCCTTAACAGTGGTAAAGAGGCACACATTGGTCTTTGAGAATAAGCAGTTCCCAAGATTGATGCAGGGGAGGTGGGGATCAATGAGCAAGGCATCCCAATAGATCACTGCGCAAAAGCCTACAGTAGCTCCTTACTGTGTAGAGGAAAATCCAGGCGCTTGTCTGGGCAGTCTGAGCCCTGGCCTTGTCTCCATGTCTCTTCACTCACTGCATTCCATCCACACAGGCTGAACTGGCTCCCACCTTAGGGACTTTGAACATACTCATCTCTTACCTGGAACATTCTTCCTTCCATTGTCAGTATCAATATGTCTCCTCACCCAGCCCTTTCTTGACTGCTGCATCTAAAAAGCTAAACGATCTCCCTCTCTCTCTTCTCATTCACTCCTCACCCCTTCAAAATACTGATTTCATTCTAACTTTATATAAATCATACGTGTGTGTAATGTTACATATGTAAAGGTCATATACAGGCTGAGCATCCATAATCCAAAAAGCTGAAAGCTTTTGAGTGTCCATTTGACACCACAAATGGAATGTGCTACATCCTGAAACTTCATTTCATATTTGAACAGTAATTTAAATGTTGTATACCAGCAGACGGGGAAGGTCATCCAGCAGGTGGGAGCAGGACTACACGCAGTCTCCTGACTTCTACTGCTGCGCCCTCCATCCCACACAGGTGTTACAGCCCTGAGACAGTTAGAAATGAACCCTGCAATTCCATGCCTAACGCTTACACTGGTGGGCAAGCGTGCACGTGTCAGAGTGTTTTTTATTGCTTCATTTGCTATAGAATAAGAGACAAAGCTAATTTATAGGCCCACTACCAAGGAACTGGCAAAATTAACCAGACTGTGTTTATGCTGTGTAGAGAAAGATGCAGCTGTTATAAAAATGGGGTTGTAGGGCTGGGCGTGGTGGTGCACGCCTTTAATCCCAGCACTTGGGAGGTTAGAGGCAGGTGGATCTCTGTGAGTTCAAGGCCAACCTGGTCTACATAGTGAGTTCCAGGTCAGCTGGGGCTACAGGGAGACCCTGTCTGAAAAAGACAAAAAAAAAGGGGTTGTTCCATAGTTTCTGATATTGAGTGGCACCAACAAGGTGCAGGACCATGTGGCTGCAACGTCCCCTCTGTTAATGCTTGTGTGTGAGGAGAAGGAAGTCTGCCAGGATATAATCCAAAACATCAACAGTGATCCCCAGGGTGAATTCAGAGGAAAAAGCAAAGAGATGTTGAATTTTACTTCAGACATTTCTACAGTCTTTTCTATAATGATGTGTGATGTTCAAAACCCAGTGGAACAGAGCTGAAGGTGTAGCTCAGCAGTAAAGAATGTGCTTAGCATGTGTGAGGACCTAGGTTCAATCGTAACACCACCCCCAAAATCAATAGAGCATGGATGGGAAGGAGTGTGATACTCAAATATAGGTCATTATTAACAGACTCTAGATGACAAGTGTGCAGATTTTCTCTATAAAATTATTTCAATTTTGATATTTATTTAGAATTTTTATACTAAGAGCCGAGGATGTTGCTCAGTTGGTAGAGGACTTATATAATATGCATGAAGCTTCAGGTTTGATCTCAGACGCTGCACAAAACCACTGCATACCTGTAATCCCAGCACTCAAGAGCTAGATCAGGAGTTTAAGGTCATCTTCAGCTGCATAGTGAGTTTGAGGCAAGGCTGGGACACATGAGACCCTGTCAAAAAAAAAAAAAAAAGAGTTCTTTGTAATTGAATGCTGGGAGAAAAATCATCAAAGCTACAGAAAGTTAACCATTTGAGATAAATAGTTCTGGAAAGCCTGACATGCGGCTCCTCTTGTGCTGAGGCTGATCCCTGTGCAGGCAGGGCATTGGTGGGGGCATCTATGTCTCATCGAACTCCTCCGAGTCCTCAGTTTCTCAGAACATAGCTGCAGGATTCTGAAGCTGACACAGTCTTTGCTTTCTAGGAAGCTGACCTCTGGCAGCTGTTGTCACTGAGAATGCTGCAGCCCGGGCCGGAGGTGGGTATAGTGCCTGCTTCTCCTCCAGCACCCTGGCTAGGCAGCCTGGGCCTGAAAGACATGTTCCATTTTCCTGCTTTAGATGACAGAAATCTCTGCACTCCTTTACATGTAGTGCAACGAGGGTGAACCGAGAGGGAGCAAGCAAGGCGCTGACTGTGACCATGGACTATTGTCCTTAAGCATGCCACACCCTGTTAAGGTCCACCTAGACAACAGCAAGGCAGGGCCCAACAAGCTGAAGGTACTTGTCCAAGATCTCATTGCTAAGTGAATGGAAGAAGCCAGACTTGAACCCAATCCCTGACTCTAAATCTGAGCTCACTGCCTTCTCCAAAGGCTTTTAGTGTCCACCAGATGGACAATTCTAACAAGGGCCACAGAGCAGAGAAGGATGTAGCATTACTAGGTGCTAACTTCTTTCCTAAGCACAGTATAAATTAGCTCATTTAAATCCTTACAACTTTGTGGGGTAGGCACACCCTTATTCTCCAAGGGTGAAAATGAAGGCACCAGGAGATTAAGAAACCTGCCTCAAGCCGTATAGCTTGCAGTGTTAGTGCTGGGACTCTGCTCCCCCAAATCATCACTGGTACCTTCTGTACATGCCCAGGACAAAGGGGATATAATCTCACCTCAGAGAAATTCAGGGAGAGCAAGTGACCTCTCCAAGGCCACACAGCAAGTTATTGTAGAGCCAGAAGAAAAATTCAGACCCCTGCCTCCTAAGGTGGACTTGTTCTCACCCCTCCAAGCTGGGGCAGAAGAAAGCCACCTTCTTAACCTTCCCTCTACCTCTCTGCTTTAACCTCATTCAGGCCTCTAATCAGTCCAGAGGGACCCTGGGACTGGTCATCAGGACTCCAGATCCCCCCATTGTCCACCTTGATGGCCACAGGGCCATGGTCATCCAGCGGGGCTTACTGATGCTCCCTGGGACCAACAACACCTCCTCTGATGCAGTGACCTGGGTGAGTAAGATTGGGCAGTTTGATCCTCAGGGTCCTGGACCCATGGCAACAGCCCCACCAGGGTCTGCTGACCAAGGGCAGTGTGACAGGAGGGCCTGATCAGTTTCATCTCCATCTACTAACAGTCTTCACATGGGCAGCTGTGCCCACTGCTGAGGCATTCATACACTAACACAAGCGCCCCAAGCTCCCCTGGGGTGCTCCCTAAGGACCTCTTTAGCTGCTAATGGCTTTTACTTCCAGACCCTCACTGGGTGCCTTCGTGGGATGGAGTTAAGGCTTTGGAAGGATAACCCTCGCGTGTCTGCATCACAGAGTTAGGAGGAAGCCAGAGCCAAGGAGCTCCTGACAGTCCCAACCATGCCTATCATTTATGCCCCAAGATGGGGATTTGAGTTAGAGGAATTCTGGGAAATGCAGCCTTCAAAGTTTCAACAACCCAACCCGCCCTGGCAGTCCTCTTTCTCATTTCACAGATCTCACAATTAGAAAGTGCCTCAGACAAGGGGCAGAAGGCTGACCCCGCTATAGGTAGGCTGGGTGGCATCTTGAGGGTGCAACAGGGTCCCTGGGTCTTAGAAGGCATGACTGTATGACCAAGAAATTAACTGTCCTTTCATTGGTGATGAAAAGGCTTATGTCTGCACATGTGGATTACAAAGGCTCACCAATATCTTGCAAAACCAAGGGGAGTCCGCAGTGATGGCACACACTATAGTCACAGGCAGAGGAACCCCTTAAGCCAAGGAATTTGAGACCAGCTTGGATACACACCAAGGCCTCATCTAAAAAACAAAAGCAGAAACAAGCCAGCTAAGGCTGTTGCTTAACAGGAGAGCCCTTGCCTAGTGTAAGGCCCCAGGTTCATCCCAGTACCATGTATACAGGCACAGTGCTCTCTGGCTTCTAGCAATAGCGATTAGGAACCAAAGCTATCCTTCCACTGAGCTGAGCCCTGTCTCAGGTTCAGCCCTGGCCTCTCCTGCCCTCTGAGGGTGGCCAGGCCCACCAGCGTCCCCTTCCACAGGCACCATGTGGGAAGACTGTGCCATGAGTACAGGGTGAGGAACAGAGGCCAGAGACCAGCTCTGAGCACAGGTTCATGGGGCTGTGGTCAGGGGCTCCTTCTGCTGGGATATGGATCCAACTCTGCTCCAATCTCATTTTAATCCCTCACAGCAACTCCTTTCCAAAGCTGTGTTTTCCTCAAGAAACCAGAAACTAAAACTTCAGTTCACTCCACACAGGTAATAGCTTCTGGTATAAGAAAAAGGAGGTAGCTGATGGTGGACGATGGGAAGAAAGGGAGTGCTCATAAATGGCAGTCTCCTGCTCATGGCAGAGGGAGGGCAGGTACTGTGACCTCCAGCTCACCTAATTACCCATTTCCTCTGGCAGCACCATGGTCACCCTGGGCCCTTACCATGCCATCTTTAAGAAGCAGGTGAGTCCCTTCCTTTGGCCTTGACCTTGCATCCTAAGACACATAAGCATATAGTATAGGTGCCCAAGCCACTGATATAGGGTTGAAAGCTTCAGTCTTAGTCTGTCCCTAATCTCTTCTCACTCTGGCGCTCTCCCTGCCCATGCCTACTGGGATGGGGCAGAGGCTCCAGGGCTCAGACTTGTCCATTTCATTCTTTCATATATGTAACAAATTAATTGAGCACCAGTTATGGTAAGGGAACCACAGGAAAGTCCTCACCCTTGTGAAATTCACATCTAGTGGTCCGAGGTCAAACATTAGTACATATAAACCACAGCAAAACAAATCCTATAGCACAGAGGCGGAATGGGGTCAGGCCTGGGGCCTGGCAACATCAGACAGGAGTCTGAGGGCCACACTGAGACGAGCTTTAGAGAAAGACTCAGAGGGGAGATGGGGAGACTAGAGATGTCAGGGACAAGGGACAAAGGCCCAAAGTTGAGTGTGTATCCACAGGCTCAGGAAAGAGCCAAGGCTCTAGAACAGAGTCAAGAGACAAGCAGGGCAGGTCCACACAAGGAGTGAGCATTCCTTGGAGTGAGAAGGAAATCCTGCTGGAGAATCTGAGCAGAGGAGAAGCAACACTAAGAGAAGGCAGTGAGGCCAGCAGCAGGCTATGGCCAAGTGAGGAGGAGGCTCCCAGGAGGTCCTGGTGGTTGGCAGGAGTCAAGAGTCAGGTGTTTTGAAGGTGGCACTAGCTAACAGAATTTCCTGATGGAGCAGAGATGGGGAAGAAGGGGTAAAGGTGTTCATGGGCCTGTCTTGCCCCTCAAGCTTGCAGTCTCAGTGTGCCCCAGTGTCAGCAGCTCTCAGCACTAGAGGAATCTCACTCTGACCCAGAGTCGGTCCCAGTGAAGCTGTGTTTCTAGGCTCCCACAGATCAATCTGTCTCCTTCCAGGGCTTTCCTGCAGAAAAGCACCTGGTAGGTGCTTTTTAGCCCCTCAGTGATCCCCAGTCCTGTCACTAATCTGCCCAACTGGCTCCAACATCCTTCAAAAGTGGCATCTGGATAGGTGTGGTGGCATATACCTGTCACCCTAGTACTAGGGAGGCTGAGGCAAGAAGATGTCTTCAGAGTCAGCCTGGGATATAGAGTAAGACCTTTTCCACTAAATAAAAAGTGCTGTCTACAGGAGCATCTGTATACTAGCATCCCACCATCTCAGGTAAGACTGTCATCAGAGGAAGTGAGCTTCCTGTTCTGTCCCATTGCAGGAAGAACGCCTGAAGGCCTTGCTCTTAGAGTTCCTGAAGAGAAGGTTCCTGCCTCACCACAACAGTGAGTCCCGCCCTGCCTCTCTGTCAGTCACACATCATAGCACCTAGTTAGAAGCAGCACAAGACCTGTCCACAGGGCCCACACGCAGCTGCCTGCTGCCTGGACTGAGAATGGCTCCCAGGGAGTCAAAGGCAACACACACCGAATTCTGGGGTGCAGCCACTGAGGCTTTTAGTGCTGATGAGAGCTCAGAGCAGGAGCAGGAGGCCAGAAGGGTGGCTCCAGGAAGGATGCAAAGTCATAACCAAGGGGTACCTCACAGGGGAGGCTCCACTCACAGCCCCAATACCTATAGGGCCAGTACCCAATGGGCTTAAGTGGAATGCCCAGATGGGCTGAGGCGAACAGGCCAGCTAAAGTGGGCATCTCACACTGCACGTGTCATCAGTAGAGTGGGTATTTGAGTTCCTAGAGAGGCTGGATGCTAATGTCACAGGACCTCATCCCTGCCTCTAGCTATCAGGAATTCAGATTTTCCAAAACTCCGTCTCATCTTGGGCTTCTTAGACACTGAGACAAAGGAGTGTAGACAAATGGGGAGGTGAGCCAGGCTTCAACTTCCTGGCCTGGTCCTCCCAGGGGCAGTGTGTACACCCACCACACATTGTTCTGGTGGCTAATTGACCAGTTCCTATGCCCCCACTGCATGGTGAGCTTCCCAAGAACAAGGATCTGCGTGTTTCTCATTGTATGTAGCATCCTATCCAGTGTCTCACATCAAGCTCACTCAGGAAATGCAGACAGCATAAACAGCCCAGTCCTATTAACTCCTGAGGAATTACCTGGCTGGGGCCCTTCATCTTTCAGGTGGGACCACTCCACAGAGTCACAGAGGTTAGATGGCTTACCCACGGTCACTTGGCCAGCAAGTCTCTGGCCAAGTCAAGCCCAGAACCCTGACTTCTTATTTTCTTAATTGGGAGCCTTTATGCTCTGAGTCATTTGGGGAGAATATCCACCTTGAGAAGTAGGCAGGGGATCAAATGATGGGCAGACTGAAGGGTCTGACTTCTATTCTGAGGTCTGTGGTGGCCAGAGAAGGTTCTAGGCATGAAGTGTACTAATCTATTCAAGAATGGAGACTAACAGGGGACAGAGGAAGGTGGCAGTAGATCCAGAAGGAGTGCCAGACACGCCAGGCAGGTAAGGGTGCCACCAGCTAAGGCAGGGTGAAGGGCTGAGATAGGACACACCCTTGCTCAATGCCTGTGTGTCGCATTCTAGTGTACCCAAGGTCCACAAGGGTCAAGAAACAATCCAGAGATGGGGATTGGCCCCAGAAACCTGTGTGGTCATGCCAGTTCTGAACCTGTCATGCCAGGAGCATGTTCAGTGCCAGGGGTGCTGCTTACACTGTGCTCCCACCCAGAGCCTCCCCCAGGAGAAAAAGGCAGAGTAAGAGCTCCAGAAGAAACCCAGGAGGGCTGTCCATGAAAACCACCACACAAAAGTTGGCAAGGGGAGGCTCAGCACTCTGCATGGAGAGAGGTCTGGAATGAGGCACCCTCCGTCAGGACCCATGGAGGCCTGAGGACAGATGGGAGACCAGATGCATGGGTCCTTCTTCCTCCATTACCCCCATAACCTTTCTCCTGAATGACCACTGGACCATTAAGGGATGAGGTAGAGCAAGCCTGGTTAGCACAGTGGTTGGTGCAAGAGGAAGCTGTGCCAGGTCCTTAAGGTCAAATCTTGGCAACTGAGTTTACTGCAAATCAACCAGACAAACTGTTAGTTCATGGAAACTCTACCTGCAAAGTGACCTGTTTTTCAAATTTGCCAATTCACCAAAAGTCTGCTTTCAGGATTATAGCTCAGACATTTGGTAAATAAGCATGCTTGTGAATATCTTCCTTCTTCAGTGTATCCAATGGCTATTGTCTTATTAACAGAGCCAAATTTCTAGTGCTTCCAGGTTAAATTTTCCATTGATTCTGACACCTTTCTGATCCACTTTTGGGATGTTTCCTTTCCATCAACATGGTAGGGCTTCCCAGTGCAGTGTGTTCAGCTGCATCTCAGCTAGAGAAGACATTTCCTGAGCAGATTCACAAGAATACACCGAACCTTCCTTAAAATGCCTCTCAGAAGGATTAGCTTCCTGACAATGTGTTCACAGGTCCAGGATATATTCAAGAAGAATGTTCCTTTAGACAGGTGTTGGTGATGGCGGGGAGGGGCCAGGAGACTATCAGATGTGTCCAACCTGGAACTCCCAGGGTACCTGCATCCCAGGATAGCTATAGATGGGTGTTGGTGATGCCATGGAGGGGCCAGGAGACTATCAAGTGTGTTCAACTTGTAGCTCCCTTATGGTGCGTGTCGCTTGACTCCCGGCGTGGTGTGTGCGGGCACCCTGGGGTCTCCGCCACACCTGGCTAATCCTGGCGTGAGTCTGGCTGCAGGCGATGTGGGGAGCGCGCCTGGGCTCCCGGGCGCACTCACTCTGGATGTGGCCCAGGGTCAG